TAACCTGCAAAGATTGAATCAATTCAGTCTTGGGCTTTTTGACTATCTGTACTTTCAAGTAGATTCTGGGCTCAGTCCCATATCAGTCTGAAGCAGTGCCAGTGACTGGACTACCTGCAGAAGTGAGAGAAGCAGCTGACTTCTGAGGGTCCATGCCATTATCCATTAAATTAAATGGAAAAATTCTCATTGGTTCTATGGAGCAAGAGTGGCCAACCTATAGCCTGTGTGCCATAAGTGGCATGGGCAGTCTCTCTGTATGCCACATGGCAGCTCTGTAAGGGAGCACAGGGCAGGGAGCAGGAAGCAGAGGGAGAAGATAAGAGCAGCACCTGGAGAGGGTGCAGACTTAATTTGTGGCATGCTGGCTAAAAAGGTTGGCCCCACTGCCATAGGGCATTTAATCAGGCTAGTAGGGAAAAAACTAAGGGCCTGATTGAATGCCCTATGGCAGTGGGGGCCAACTTTTTTGGCCAGCATGCCACAAATTACCCAAAGCTTCCTTTGCTTTAGTACAGACTCCAAGGATAATCTTATATAGACATCTGTATTAGAAAGAATTGTCTTTTTATAGCTTCAGCTGAGGAAGTGAGTGAAAGGAGTGACAACAGCAACTGCTTCCTCTTCCTCTTTATAGCCAGACCTAGATTTAGAGTAGCAGGAAGTTTTTATCTCCTTCCCTCTCCTGCTGGTGTTTTCTGGTGGAACTGACTGGGGAAGCAAATGGCAGAAATAACAAGAAAGGAGAATTAGAGGCAGCTGGAGACTCAAAACAGCTGGGTTGTTGTGGCATTCAGTGCTTATATTTTAAAGTTCTCAGCAAACTGTGTTTTTGAAAATCTAACTTTTATTCTGGTACCTAAATGGGAGCTGAAGATTTCGGAAAATTCAGTGTCTATGCTTAGAGAATAAACTTGGCCCCTTACCTGGGTGTTGTCTCTTACCTCCTCGCCTTTCATGTGAGTCTGATAGTTTGAGTTTTCAATTCAGGCTATTTAATTCATCTAATGAAGCTAAAGTCTACCTGCTGCTTTCACTAGGGGTGGTAAGCTAGCCCCTTGGCTGTAAGGATTCAAGCTAAACTATTCAGGAGCTGTACTAGTAAGGCATTCTCCAGGGCCTTACCACAACTGTTCCCATGCATTAAGAAATATCAGTTGATACAGGGACTGGAAACAAACTAAGCAAGCGGCACAGTGTGCCAGGCAGATGGGTGGGCACGCACTGCTGCTGCCACCCACACATGCCCAGCCTTCAGAATGTGATGGGATGAACTTTTCTGATGCATAGTGCCAGCCTTAGGGATGGGCCATGTGGGTGACCGCCCAGGGTACCGTGGTCAGGAGGGTGTGACCCTTCTCCCCCCTGCCACACACACACAAACGTGTGAGCTGCCCATGCTCACAGCAGTGCTCTCCCTCTGCCCTGCCCTGGCTGATCCCTGCCCCAAGCAGACGAGCGGTGCCAGGCCTACCTGCCTGGCGCATCGTGCTGCTCTACCTCCCCACTGGGCTCTGCCCCATGCCTCTGTGATTCTGGGACTTCTGTTTGAATTTTTGCCAGCTGGCCTGGACACCAGGGTGGCCTACAAAATCTGGGACTGTCCCAGCCAAATCGGGATGTATAGTCACTCTACTTTTAAAGGATGCAGGCCTGATTTCAAATCCCTGCTCCGAAGCAGGCAGAAAAAAATATTTGGATTTGGATTTCTTATGTCTCAGATCAGGATTGTAACCATTCAGCTAGTCCACTAAAAAGGGAGGCTACCTTCTTTTTCAGGGTGGGTTAAGTGTTATGTGAACATGAATAGTACATTAGGCTCTGCAGATCAGGTAGGCAGCAGAACAGCTAGACTGAGTTTCTTAGGCTGAGGCATGAGATAGGTACTGAGAAGTTATCAAGACTTATGTATTCAGTGACAGAAATTCAGCAGACTTCTGACAGAAAGACGTTTCCAGGGATAGGTAGGGTTTTGAAGATCTAAATTTTGGATTTCAGCAGTTAAAGTACCTATGTTCTGCTTTAGGCTCCCTGTCAAGCCTAAACATCTCTCTTTTACCAGGGACCTTTTTAGCAAAATGATTGAACTTAAATATAGGTCTCCCGACATGTGAGGCTCCATTTATGCTCTTACTGATCTTTTACACTTTTAAGTAGGGCGGCAGGTGCACAATGGAGTTGAGAGTAATACTGTTCAATGTGGAAGATGATATAAATAATAGTCAGGGTTTTCACTTGTGAGTTGTGGGAGCCAAAAACATGTTTAAGGGCCTGATTTTTTCAGAGCATGGGTGTCCAGTATATTTTAAAAATCAGGCTCTTTGAAGGCATCCCAAATTGGGCAGGAAAAAATATTAAGGCATATAAAACCACAAAATGCTTGTGTCCTTATCTTCTTCTTTCACTTACGCTGGACTGCAGCAGTCTCATACACCCTGTTGGGCATTGTTTTATGTACCATAGGTAACAACAGAAGAGGACTCAATGTTTCTAAACTTAAATGGACTCTTTATTAAGAACAGTATGTACAGAGATGCTGCAACTGCAGCTAGCTAGCGTTCCAGCTGTGTACATAGAGGCTGGCCTCCTGTTGCCTCCTCTAGACTATCGCTTCTTTGCAATCTGTGTTCCCTCTTTTAAGTACCATGCAGGTAATTACGTCTTTCCCTTTAAGAATAATTGTCACTGTTGTTGCTTATTGTGTTGTTTGTGATAGTGGGTACTGACATAGCAGGCCTGGAAATTACCAGTATGTAGGTTCCCCAGGTGAGGTTCTTGTGGTGGCTTGTTCAAGTGTGTTGGTTTTCAAAGCAGTCTTTCATTTCTTGTTTGTATTATCCTGGTTGTTGGGGGACATTATTGACTTTATTTTGTTGGATGGTATCTGTTTGGTCCTCTGATATGTTTACACACTTTGTTTCTCCTGACCAGACCAGTTGACAGCTGATACTCTTTCTAAGTCATTTGGATCTTGGTATTGGTCCTTTTTGGACATTTTCCAGAGCAGCTTTTCTGGGCTCATACCCCCTGCACTCACTCAGAAATGACCACAACAGTGAACTTCTGGGTTTGGAGCTTGTTGGAGGGCATGGGAGGACCATGCTTAGGCCCATCCTTGCTGGGAGCTGCTGCTCCGGAGGAGGAATGTGAGGGGTATCTTGCAATGATGTAGCATTGCTGGGTAATAATTGTCTATATTTTTCATTTCATGTAATTTCCTACAAGTCTTTGACATCAGCTTCTTCCTGTCTACCTATCCCATTGCTCTGAGTATCCAGAGGAAGGCCTGTGATCAAATTTCCATTTGGTATTAAACCATTTGAATTCCACTGCACTGAAATGTTTCCTATTGTCTGTATATTGTATACTATGGTATTCATGTATGACCAGCAGCAACACATTTTTCATTTAATCTTGGGTGCCTTGGGTGTGAAACATATATGTTTCATGATGCTATCTCTTAAAGAGTACTGAGATTACCTCTTGGTCCATTTTAAAGAAAATTCTGTCTTGGGAACATAGGTTACCATCTCTTGATCTTTATGATCTAGCTGAATCTTGTTTTCAACGGTAATATGATGGAATTATCCTTTTCCTGAGAACAAAGTAGATAGGTCCTTTTTTACCCAAGCATATCTGTATCTGCCAAGGCTCTATGAGAAAATGCCTTGCAGTTTCTCACTTTTGCCTCCGTGCTGCTCTTAAGTCTCCTCCAAGGCATCATGCTGAAGCTCTAGCTGTTCTATCTGGCTGTTACATTTTAGGCCTCTTGTCTCACTTTATGACTGACTTTATTCTTTCAACTGCCTATCATTTAGTCTCTGAGCATCCCCATTTGGCATTATTATGTGACAAGTGTCCTAAGGGGACATGGGCTTCTGCTTGGTGCGTGCAGGATTTTGAAAGATAATTATCCATCCCTATAAATTGCTGGGCTTCCTTCACCTTTTTTTCAGGTCTGGAGATGTCCTCAATGGTGCTCATTCTTTCAGTGTTTGTCTGGGTCCCACTGAAGTCAACAGATATTAATTGCAGGGACCTCAGTGCTTCTCAGCCTCAGGTTGTCTACGTTGCATATTCTGCTTCTGACTTGGGATCTGTAGGTTCTGGGATAAGAATGTCAATAGCACAGTCTTGATGTTTGGGGAGTGCTTGGTTTAGTTGGGTCAAAGACATTTGTATGCAATGGTACCAAGCAAAAGATGTGGCAAAGGTTGTGAGGTGGCTCAATGGCTCAACCAGCTCAGTATGTCAGAACTTATTCTTTACATCACAGTATAGCCTCAATAATTAGTGATGAGTAGTGTCTCCTTGTAGTGTTCTGGCAAGTAGTTTTTGGTTAATGAGGATTTACATGAAATGCTGTTACCACTACTGATATTGTGATAATTTGTCTGATATTACTGTTTGTATATAATGTGGCCTCTTCTTTGTAGGCTTGCAGTTCTTTTTTTCACTGTCAAAACTAGAAATAATGGATCTCTGCATTTGTGGGCTCCTGATGAAGTCTGCATGTGTCTACTGGCCTCAGAATGATTTAATTGTATATCAAAAGCATTTAGTAACATTTCTCCAGTCCCTTACTGCTACTTGCTCATGTTGCTAGTGTTCCATTGCAGATGACTCCTTGAGCCACATGAAGTTGAACTGGTCACTGTTCCAATAGTTGCAAATATGGCAGCTGAATTCACAGCACCCTTCTTCTGCTACTTAGGGTCACTGAGAGTCTTTGGATGTGCAAGTCTCATTGCAGATACTGTTCTCTCCTTTCTACATCCTCAACTACTTAATGCAATAGCCATTCTTTCTTTTTGGGATAGCTGCAACCTTGAAACCTAAAACAGTTATGTTTCCACAGCTGTGTCCCATTGTCCATAGGCAGGTCTTTTTGTTTTTTGTGTGGTTTTCCATAGTACATACGTATCATGACTGAATTCTTGGTTGGTCTGCGTATGTCACACTTCCTAAGTTGTTTTAGCTTGAGTTTATGTATTGTTTTTCACTGCTAGCTGTTACTGGTTTTATCATTTCCTGGGACAGTTCTTGCTGGGTTTAAGTCTGTTCCTCTCAACAGTCCCTCATGCAAGTTGTGTCTCACAAATGTTCCTGCCTCTAATTAGCGTATCTTTAATGCCTCCACAGTTATATAGTGAAACCGGAGTTTTCAGCAGTGCAACATAACTAGTTATTCCCTTTTCTCTTGCTTTTAGTTTAAAAAATTCTCTCTCCCTACAGTCCAGTTTTCCCTGGGATCATGGTACTTGTCAAACAACTTTATTAACTACCCCAGTGTTCTGGGCATTATTCATGGCAACAGTGTTGCGTTTACTTTTTGTCCTTTTATTCCCAAAGAAATAATAGAAGAGTTTACTTTCAGTTTTTATTTTTATTGTCCCTGGTCAGTTCTATATACAGATTGAATTCTTGCTTGTGCAAGTTTTTTGTCTGGAAATTCAGCATTTCCTGAGTCCCTCCATGAAGTCTGTTTGCTCTGCCTCTAGATGCTTCTTTCTTTGCTTGTTATTCACTCTCTCCCTCATTAGACTGTTCAGTGCCACTGACCACATTACATATACTGTGAATGGGGCATAAGCACAGAAAGCCTTTGAGCTTATAAAACTAACTTGACTCTTTATTCAGAGAACTATTTTTCAAAAATACTAGAGCTGCAGCAAGCATTCAAACCACAAGGTGTACAGCCTGGCTTGCTGGTGCTCCTCCAATATCTTCCCTCCAGTAACCTTTATTGCTCCTTCCACGTTCCACTGAGGTTGCCAAAATTACCACACTGGTACTTGTAAGGTTAAGGGTAAGATTAAAGAATCCCGTCACTTGTCAAAATTTTCTGGCTCAGAATAACAAGATCACAAGCTTAAGCCAATGTTATGACACAAGAACAATTGTTGTAACTACATACAGATCACCGAGTCAAAACACTTCATTAATAGGCACTTCTGTTCAAGCTAAGACACTTCCTGCCTTAGCCTTAGCCTAAGCTATGTCCTTAGCCTTCCACTATGGTGAGCAGAAATGGAAATATTCTGGGCTTTGGAAATATTTTCCAAAGGGCTGTGCTGGTATCAGAGTTGTATTTTGGCCTTCTAAATTGTCAGCTTAAAGATGTAGTTAGCTCTAATGAAAGAAAGCTAATGACTCATTCTTCAAATTTATTGTGACCTTAAATTCTTCACTGTTTTACAATAAAACATTTTTTCTTTTGTTTGCTTTTTTCCCCCTCCCAACCATTTAGAGCTAATACTTATTGTTCAACCACAATGCAGTAAGTGGCCTGGCACAGCTTCAGGAAACAAAGTAAGTATCTCCATCTGCGGGGACAGGGGAAGTTACTACTGCATATGGAATTCTTGAGATAATTCTGCAAGGACACAGTGTGATATGAAGTTTAATTCTTCATCCTTCAAGGACTGGTGCTGCTGTCCCATCTACGATGGCAGTTCATGAAAATAAAATATACAGCAGACAATAAAAAGACTTCATTTGCTCATACAAACATAAGGTTGCGTGTTATGTTAAAGCCATTGCACAAATTCACAGTTGAAATGATCACCGTGCTGCCACAAAACCAGATCCATTCAATTATTTCAGTTCAACTGGCTCAGAGGAACCAGTGAATAGATGGTTCCATCATTAGTTTTAGAAGCTGGGGTATAATGGCCATTTCTCATGTGGGAGTTATGGATGGATGAGGAAGTCTCTGTTCTGTAAATCTGGGCTTGCATTTCACAGCAGCCAAACTTGCTCAGTAAAATGAAGAAATCTCTGCGGAAAGTTTTTGTGAAAATTGCATACAGGAAAGGGTTGGCACATGAATTTATAGGATAGAACAAAACCAGAAGGATCTTGGATTTTGACACTGTGATGAGAGGAACCTTGAGGGAAGCTGAAATGGCAAAAAAAGATATTGGTGCCATACACAAAAAATCAGTGAAGATCAGGATGGCCATACGCTTGGCAATTTTTGTGTCACTGTTTGAAGAGATGACATTGCGGTTTCTCACTGTGAAGTATATGCGAATATAGCAGGCACAAATGATCACAAATGCAAGGACATTCAGCACTAGGAGGAATATGACATATGCCTGAGAAAAGGGCATGTCTATATCCATTGGCAGGCAGATGCTGACTTTCATATAACTGCTGACTCCAAATATGGGAAGAAGGGCTACAGTGAAAGCGAACAACCATCCAAAAATCATAATCACCGCAGCGTGTCGAAAGCGAACCTTACGATCCAGTTGCATGGCATAGGTAATTGTGTGCCATCTTTCCAGGGTAATCACAGTTAGCGTGTAGACAGAAAGTTCACTTGCAAACACCGTGAAAAACCCTGCAGCATTGCATCCTGCACCAGTTTGCCAATCTATGGCATAATTGTAATACTGGCTTTTGGTCTTTATGTCCACAGATGCAATTAGCAGCAGATAGATGCCTATACATAGGTCTGCAAATGCAAGATTGCACATTAGAAATCGAGGGACAGTAAGTTTATATTGACTGCTTATTAAAATAACCAGTACAACAACATTCCCAGTGATAGCTAGAATGTTGATAAACCATATCAGGACCCTGAGAATATTGTATCCCATAATATCTTCACATGGATTGAAGGCATCCGGCTTAGGAGAGCAAGCGACATGAACTACTTCATTACATAAACCATAGTCAAAGTCAAACTCATTTTCTGGCAGGTCAAAACCTATGGCATAGTTGGAAATGTAATCTTCTGCTGCAGATCTTCTATGTATCCTGTCCACAGGCTGCTCATCAAGGTCTTGCTTGGCACCAGATGTATTACATATTGGATGCAATTCAGAACTGGAATGGAAAAAATAATATAGTTAATAAGAAAGACACACAGCAGGAGTAATGCAAAAAATAAGAGTAATCATTTGGTTTCTTTTAACAGCTCTGACTCTGTTGTTAACTGATTATTTACCCCAACTCAGGACTTGAAATTAATATGCAAGCTAATGATCATTTACAAAAATTTAAATATACTGAAAACACAATACATTACAAAGAATAAATGAGCCTGAGGCTTGACTTGCAAATGTTCATGAAGCTCATTGCTAGTTAGAAGGATTTTATTTTGCAAGAAGTCCCACTTATTTGAATCAGACATGCATTTGCGGGGGGGCATAATTTGGAGTGCTGCCCATGTAACATAAACAAATAATATAAATCATTGTATTCTTCTGTCAGAACTGCATCTAGAAATTACAGGAAGTCAGATATAATAAGCAGGGATCCAGGTTTTCCGTTCACTATGGAAAAACATGGTAAAAACCTGGATTATCACATTTGAAGGAGAAAAACTAGGGTTGTCAAATAATAAAAAAAAATCATGATTAGTTGCACGATTAAAAAAATAGATGCATTTAATTGTGATTTTAATTGCATGGCTAAAAGCTCAAAATTATGCACAGAAAAACTCAAATTATGCAAAATTATGTAAGTACATTGTATGGTTGGGGGGTGTGTGGGGGGTGTGGGAATTTGTGAAGGTGTGGGAGGCTGTGGGTATGTGTGGGGTTTGGAGCCTGGGGAGGGAGGTTCCTGCATGCCCTGGCAGGATGTGGGGTACTGTGAGTCAGGCGTGAGGGGCACCAGCAGGGCTGTGGCTTGAGAGTGAGGGGCAGACACACATACAGACACTGCACAGCAGGTAAGGCTGTGGAGAGGAAGGGGCATGGACAGAGGGAATGACCAGGGTGGGTAGATTGAGGACCCTACAGTGAGGGAGTGGGGCAGGGGCTGGGGTGAATGGGGCTTCATGGTTGGGGCGGTTGATGGGACAGAGCCATGGGCAGCTTCTTCAGGTGTGGTAGGGGGCATAGTGCCCAGCAGTACGTGCACCCCCGGGGGAGGCACAGGGGACATGTGCCCCCTGGATTTGTGCATGGGGCAGGGGTGGGCTACAGGCTTGGGGCTCTGTGACCTGCTGCCATTGCCCCAGGAGCCATGCAATGCCATGCTGTGCCTTCTGCCACCAGGCAGGCAAGGAATGCATGGCATGGCCAGTGCACAGCTCCTGGGGCAAAGGCAGCAGAGCAGAGAGAGCCCCAGCCTGCAGCTCACCTCCACCTCACGCAC